TCTTTTATTTCTGGTTTTTGTCGGGTAAGTCTAGCTGAGTACCTTCTCGTACTCAGGGTTTATTTTCCACCTGTTGCAGATGACCAGTTCTACTTTGGTTGCTGCAAGTACTGCCTTCTCCCTGCTGGGGATGAAGACTAGACCGTTGGGAGCGGTCTCTACTAGTTCTCGTACCTGATAATGCTTTTGCGGGACATGACTCGGACTTGGCAATGTATTTGAAAACTATGATGTTTTGTACTAAATTATGTTGCTTCCGCACACTCAAACTTGGTTTGTAATATTTTCTTCGAACTCTGATGGATGTAATCCAAATGCTACTTGTGAAATGTTGTAACGAATGATGTGTTGTGTTGAATCATTACGATCTTGGTTTGTATGTCGAGAGTTGGTTGAAATCCTTCGTGATTTCCGGACTACCGGGATTATGGGAGCTTAAGTACAGGAATTTGATCACTTCGGTGATTGTTTTTGTACTTACGTTCTTATGATTTGGTCGGTTCTGTTACAGGGATGGTGGAGGTCTAAGCGCCACACTGAGTCCGGGACTCAGGAGTGGGGCTTGGAGTCCAAGTTTGGACGGGGACCTGGACCCCTCGATAGGAAAGTAGTGGGTTGGTCTTGCTTGTGCCTGGGATACAAGCGGGGCGTGTGTTTCGTTGTACCCAGCTGTGATACATTGGCTCGTGAATCGCCGTGTGATACGGTACGACTTGGCTATGATCTAGCACCGTAGTAAGAACTGGAATCTGAAATATGGTAAAATAGTTCTTATTGCTTACCACCTACTTGAAAGTAGCACATGTGCTTACATAGAATGGTTAGTAATGGACTAATGATGACTGCTAATAAAATTTAATATAAGGATGCACGTTTAGTAATGCTTCTACAGATGCAATAACCCACAAACCAGATAGCCTTACATATCCTTGGAGTCTTTTCTTTCCTCCTGACGGGTAAGCCTTGCGGAGTACAATTGAGTATTCAGGGTTTGTTTTACCCTGTTGCAGGTGGCAGGAACATGTGGAGCTGACACTTGTGTGTGGAAACCTCCTGGTGGGCTCAGCGAGGATTTCCTTAATGTTGCGGACATAGAGTTTATTTGAAACTTCCGCCCAAAATGTTTTACAATGGAAAAACTTATAACATGTTATGATGTATATAACGGATCATCATGTTAATGTTTAACTTGTCATTAAATGATTTTATTTCCGCTAAAACTCTGATAACATGGTTATATTCCGTTGTTATAAACAATAAATATTATACTCTGATGTTGCATGAAAAGTGATGTAAGAAATGGCTAAAATGTTGTAAGCTTTATTCTCCCATTTATGATCCTGTTGAAAATATGGATTTTTGGGTTCTCCCATGGGGTGTGCTCGACAGAACTATTTAAATTAGCTCACTCTTGGGGTGTTTAGTGTCTAATAGAAGACGAGCACCTTCGAAAGTGAGTTATTTTAGGCGGTTCTGCCACATTCTTTCTCCTCCCGCTACCCACCACCGCCCGCCACCTACTGCCCCCCTGCGGCATGGGAGGGTCTCGTGAGAGCTCCGCTGCCGCGACCGTGATCGCGGAGCTTCGACAGGACCCTACCGCGCCCATGAAGCTCCGACGAAACCGTACCGTAACTCCATAAGATTTTCATTTCAGTGCTAATTCAATCTTCATAGCTAGCTCTTTGTCGTTAGCCTATTATTAGGGTGTGTTTGATTTTGAAAATGAGATGTGGTCCGCCATCTTCTCACCTTTGACTTTTTTTCTTTGGTCCGTGGAAGTTTACTCTCCACTCGCTCATCACTAGCTAGCAAGCTAATAGTTACTAGTACAAGCATAAATTAAAGAATGAGGTAGTTTTAATTTATTAAACTTAATGAGATGAACTTATAATACACCAGCTTATCTAGATGCATTTGCCAAGAATTGGTAGCGAAGTAATAATAGACTTTACATATATTTTCTTCTATAATCTTTGTGCGCTCTTTCCTTTTTAGACTTTGTTTGGATGTAGTCGGATTCGCATCAATCTACATGTGTTTGGGTGCGTTGGGGTGGAACTTAAACTAAATTTCATCTCAATCCACCCCAACACATGTGGATTGAGGTGAATCCGATAACATCCAAATAAGACCTTATTTGAATCGGTGAATAGACAACATTGTAAGACATGACTATATGCGGTTGTAGAGGCCAATTTTTTTTCCATCCTCTAATTACAAAAATCTAGAATGTGATGATTCTTTAACCAAATACCCCTAATATTTCAAATCAAATCACGTGGCTAAGCTTGAAACAAGACTACCAAACAACCTACGCACCTTTTTTTTTTAATTTCTTCCTGCAGTCCCTGTTCCATTGTCCCCTCTTCACTTTACAAAGATTCTTTCTTTCTTTTCATTTTGACTTTAATGTGATTATAGACCTGTTCTTTTTTCTTCTAACCGAGACATCAAGAATAATTGACGATTAGAGTACCCTCAACAGTATGAGATAGTTACTAGCTCTAAGACAATTTCTCTTACCCTATTTGGATGTAGATATTCAGCCTTAGAATTTGGAATTGGTATTGGCTAGCTCTAAATGCAGCTGTTTGGATGGTTTAGAATTTAGAATTGGAATTGGACCCGAATATCAGGTGTTATTCACCATTCTTGTAACCCCTCATCATCAATACTGAGCTATCCCCCTTTGTATTATTCGGCATTCAACGGCTGCCCCGACGCTCCTCTGCCCTTGCCCGACGGTCCTCTGCAACCGCCTGACCATCCACCGCCCCAACTCTCCTCCACAGTGCGGCGATGACCCTCTTCCTCCGCTGCGACACTCTTGGGCAATGCTCCTCTGTCTCGATGCTCCTGGGCAACGACACTCCTTCCTCCCGATACTTCCTGACCTCCTCCGCCATCGGCCATCGACTCTCTTCCCTCTGCATAGACGCTCCTGGGTGACGCTCCTCCGCCCCGAAGCTCCTAGTCGACGAAGCTCCTCCGCCCCTTCTTCCTCACGTCTGGTGCACCTCCCAAATTCCAAAATCCAATTCAATGGAGATCCAAACAACAGAATTTATATTGTGTCCAATTTCAATACTAAGATTGATTTGGTATTTTTACCCAATTCAATTCTAGTACCTCCAATATCTACATCCAAACAGAAAACCTCACATGATCTTATAGTGTGTGTATGAGGCTAGCTCTTAATTGAAAGATAACTTTCCTATCTCTTTTTACTAAAATATGAAATAATATGCTTAGAGATAGCCTTGCCTTTAGTCGGTTATATCCGGTTTACAATTAACGGCGAATGATAGAATGGATGAAAGAGTTCTTTCATGTAGTAATTAAGGTTGGTATTGTTTCTCTTGTATCCCTGCCCTAGTGTCAATCTTGTTGGTTGCTTGCCCCTCCCCGTCTTGGGCGTGCCGAGACTATACAAGACAAGTGACCTAGCTAAAACGGACCAACCAATCAAACACACTGGCCTTGTTTGGTAACGTGAGCTCTTAAGGAAAACATGGTAGAAAAAAACTATAAAAAAATTATCTTTTCTGTCATTGCTTGCGCCATGGCAGTAGTGCTCTCTTATCTCATAATACAACAGGGAGTAAGTATATATAACAAAGCGCAGGACTGGTGTAGGTGTCACACCTACCATAGTTGAAACAGACGGTGTCTACGGGTTTGTTTGTATTTTCTGGTTTAAAATTTAGTTGGTTAAAGTTGAGGAATAAAATTTTAGACTACTTTAACTCATTTGTGTTGTCTAAAATTTTGTGAGGTTATTAGCTAAATTGTAGACGACACTTTAGAACTTTGGTTTGTAGTCTCAAAAGCTAAAGTGGTCTAAAAAAATTTTAGACCATGAGATCCAAATAGGCCCTATGTTACCCGTATGTTGGGGAGCAGAGATCCGTTTCATTATCGAAGAACGAAGCGGTGGAATTGCATTGGGAGACCGATTTACCTTGGTGAAAAATTGCCCACTCGAAGGGAGAGCAAACTAGAGCGGCAGATAAAGCTCGCATATACTTGGTAAAAGGAAATAGGCACTCAGTAGTGTGGCGGTTCAATGCGCTAGTTTGTAACTTTGTATTGTACTGACAATATCATTGTTGACGATTGTAACTCTGGCTCTGAGCACGCAACAATATATAAACCTCTCTTTGCTCCTATCATACAGCCGTACAGGTTTGGTTGTCATCATAAAGAGGAAATCGTACTTGTTTAAGGAAAATATAGTGCAGATTTGGTGCAAGTGGACAAAGCAGGGCGCTAGCAGTCACGTGTCCGGTGTCCGCCGGAAATCAAGCAATCTGCATGTGCATAGGGGGAACCATCCCGATGAAACCCCGGCCGTGCTTTCAGTCTCATGAAGACACCTACATCTACATACATAGACTCTTGTACGAACTTGTATATAGTACTCAAAGCAGGCTCAATGTAATACTACTATGGGCGTGGCTAGCGGACGTCCGGACGTCCACGCAGCCCGTCTCCGTCCGTCTCGCTCCAACTCGCACGAGCACCGGACACGTGCTATATTAGGTGGCATGCATGGCCGGGTGCAGTGTATGTGGAGTGAAGCAGCGAGGAAACTGCATATGCATGGTACGTAGCAAATGTTACTATATGGTTAAACAACATTATTTAATTTGTGGGGTGTCGCATTATTATAAAATAAAATTACCTTTGATCACCACCGACCTACCGGCCACCATTCACTGCTTGATCCATGCATCTTTTCTTCCTGCTCTAGTCCAAGACAAGTTGATGCGATCCATGCAAATATATAATGGAACAAGTGGATGGATGGATCAGACCGGCCCATGCAATGCATGCATGCCACGATCCATGTGGTCCGGTCCGACCATGCATGTGGAGATCGAAAATATCCATAGCCGCCCGCCTATAAATAAAAATATATGATCATGACTCGTGGAAGCCACACACACACACCCCATCTAGCAGCTAGCACTGCACTGCACTTGCAAGCAAGCAGAATGACGATGGCCAGGTCCAGCAGTAGTAGACCAGCTGCGGCCACCGTGCTGCTGCTGGCCGTCTCAGCGCTCTGCGCCGCCCTCTCGTCGGCCACCGTGACCGTGAACGAGCCCATCGTCAACGGCCTCTCCTGGAGCTTCTACGACGCGTCCTGCCCCTCCGCGGAGGGCATCGTGCGCTGGCACGTCGCCGATGCACTCCGCAGCGACATCGGCATCGCCGCGGGACTCATCCGCATCTTCTTCCACGACTGCTTCCCGCAGGTACGTAGGAGGACATCCATGTTGCCGTCGTTGGTGTGGTGATGCTTGAATGCTGACACCACGCAAATTTAGGGCTGTGACGCGTCCGTGCTCCTGTCGGGTCCCAACAGCGAGCAGATCGAGATACCCAACCAGACGCTGCGTACCGCGGCGCTGAAGCTCATCGACGACATCCGCGCCGCCGTCCACGCCGCCTGCGGCCCCAAGGTGTCCTGCGCCGACATCATCACGCTAGCCACCCGGGACGCCGTCGTCGCGGTAAGTCCATCGCCGGACCACGTCCACGTATCCCATCCAAAATTAAGCATGTGCAATGCAACCAACCAGCTGCTGACGACAAAGCAATGCATGCAGTCTGGAGGTCCCTTCTTCGAGGTGCCTCTGGGCCGCCGCGACGGGCTGGCGCCGGCGTCCCGCGACCTGGTCTTCACCCTGCCGGGCCCCGATACTGACGTGCCCACGCTGCTGGGAAAGTTCAAGAACCGGAGCCTCGACGCGGTCGACCTCGTGGCGCTCTCCGGCGCGCACACCGTCGGCCGCGGCCACTGCGGCTCCTTCAACAGCCGCCTGCCGCCCAACGCGGACGACGGCACCATGGTCCCGTCGTTCCGGCGGACGCTGGCGGCAAAGTGCGCCAAGGACCCCAACGCGGCGCAGGTGCTGGACGTGCGCACGCCCGACGCCTTCGACAACAAGTACTACTTCGACCTCATCGCCAAGCAGGGGCTGTTCAAGTCGGACCAGGGACTTATGAACGACGCCAACACCAACCGCACCGCCACGCGCTACGCGCTCAACCAGGCCGCCTTCTTCGACCAGTTCTCCAGGTCCATGGTGAAGATGAGCCAGATGGACGTGCTCACGGGCAACGCCGGAGAGGTCCGCTTCAACTGCGCCGTGCCCAACGCCCGCCGCGTCGATATCTCATCAGGCCAGCTCGGCGACGAGGGGCTCGCGGCCGATGCGTGAAGCGTGATTACAGCTGCAAAAGAGGCATCATCTCATCGCGGCCGTGCGTGTGTCACCTTGCTAGCAGCAGTGTTGCATTTACATTGTCCGCGCATGCATCCTATCGTCGTGATAGCTTTTTAAATTTTGTTATAATAAATGGCCAAATGGGTGACGAGATCAGAGTAGAAAATCGATCTTTTCTCTCTCTATATATATCCTTTTTGCCTTTGAATTTTTTTTGCCCTAAAAATGACGATTCCATGTCCCACAACACACAAGCGTCTCATGGAGGACGAAGCAGTCCCCAGTACTGCATGTACATAAGAAAGCCAACCTCGACTGCTGGCTCTGCTGGACTGCTGCTATGGATGAAAACGGGCGGGAAAACACTCTCCCATTTCCGTTTCTATATATTTTTTTTGACGGAAATGGAAGCGGGTTCGGAATTATGTGCGGACATGCGGAAACGAACTAATGCGGACGGAAACTAACCGAAAACGGACGGAAGCCGGAGCTTAATAAGGCCGAATGTTGTATGCTAGATGACATGCAAGGCTACAAGCTTACAGCCAGCAAGCCTGCAACTACCAATGCACCACCATACGACCATACCAGAAGCAGCAAGCAACAGCACGCTTGCACCTGAACTGCACCACGCTGCAAACGTACGTGCAACAGTGCAGGTGCAAGCACGAACCAAGCAGCACTATAAAGTCATTAATAGTGATCGAGCAAAGATTTGACTACTCACTTTTTTAACGAAACGGCGACGGCATCATTAAACAAATCAAACAGCAACAATCAATCCATGTATTTTTGCTTCGCGGAGTCACAGGCTCGCCGGCGGGCGCCGAGCAGAGTCAAGGCAGACGACCGGTGCCGGGTGGACTAGCGGCACGGCGAGAGACGAACTCACGGTCACCGAGGTCCGTGGCCGGGCGGTGCGGCGGCCAGACTGCGGAGGGGTGGCCGGCGGACTGCGGAGGTGCGACGAGCAGGAACCGAAGTCCGGTGGCGCGGTAGTGTCGCCGATGCATTATGGGCCGCTCATGGGCTGTTGGCCTTGGGCTGGGGAGTGCAGCACTTTGCTTTAGCCTGCCTTGGGAATAAGGTGAAATCCGGGTGTATCCCGCCCAAATACGGGACCCGATAACACGGGCGGGATGGACCCTTTCCCGTCTCCGTCCTGCACCCGCAAGCACCTGACCCGTGACCCGTTCCGTTTTCGGATTTTCCCCCAAATACGGAAACGGATGGATCAGGTTTGCTCCAACTGCTGCTATTGCGGCACTAGCACGGACTACTGAGGCTACAAACAACCTGTTTCGGTTTCTAGAGTTTTTTTTTATAGATTTGGGCTTTGCTGAATCACTTACACTTGTTGTTTCATTGATCCTGTCGACTTATGCGTCCACTTCGATCTCTCTTTTGTGTGTGAGATAATCCAGAGGGACACTAGCTCGGTGGATATTAGATGTAGAAACTTCTTTGCTGCCCTTCTCACTTTCTTTATGACCGGAAGATGCAGTTTTGACCAAATTATTGTTAACAACGATTGGTCATGGTGATGAATTATAGTTTGAATATGCAATATGATACTAAATATTATATGATACTATAATGAAATTCCTTATTTATGGAAAATGAGTCGTTCCTTTCTTTGGCTCTGAAATTTTCTTGCACTTATTTGACACTACTGAACTTTATAATCCCCCGATCAAAAGCTAACGGTGTTAGTAAGGCGTTAGGCGCATGCATGCAGGCGCAGATGCAGAGAAAGGATGCATGCGGCCAATCCGTCAGCTCTCTTTTTTGTCAACATGATACAACAGTGTCACATATATGATACAACATGATTTCTAACAACATTTTTTTTCAACATTTACACAGCATGATGATGACACATGATATAGCAAGTTCACAGACCAGCACCACATTAACTTCAAACACAAAACGGTTCACATATACATGCAAGTTCACAAGAGTCCAAATTCACATGCATGTTCACACATAAAGGTTCACGGATACATGCAAGTTCACCAAAATGGAGTCAAATTCACGGATACATGCAAGTTCACACACAAATGAGGATACATGAGGATCACAGGCTGAGCCTTCTTTTGCTTCTTGTGTTCATTGCAGGGCTAGCAGGATCCACCCTTTTGCTTCTTGTGCCCATTGCAGGGCTATCAAGTGACAGCATAGAAATGGTGGTTTTCTTTTTAGTAGGCTCCTTTTTCTTTTTGCTCTTTGCCTTGACTGAGCAGCAATAGATGGCCTTGAGTTCATTTTCGATATGGACCTATGTACGGCAGAACTAGATTTGAACAAGAGACAACAAAGTAACAATAGCAACAAAATAGCAATAGCAGTGTGACCTTTTTTTAATCTGTGTATTACCTTTTTTATGCTCCAGAACTAGAGTTGCCCTTATTTGCTTTTTTCTTGGATGTAATATGCGCGCTTTTTGATGCTTCAATACTAGCCATATTTGTATCTTCACAAGGTGTCTTCTCTAAGTACATGACCTCATCATCAACACCTACATGCTCATTCTCTGGTACTGGGTTGTAAAGGTACCTATTCTCATTTTCTGTAACATTCTTGGCTACAACCTACTTTTGCACATCACTATGCCACTCTTTGATGGGCTCAAATGGTTCAGAGGGATCACAATAAGAAATGAACATGTCGACAACCTTTGTCTTTGAATTTTTCTCAAACATAGACAACACATCTTGGTTAGAATGAACTTCAGGAAATTCTTTCATATCATGGTCATAGTACTGAGGGTCCGTTTGGTTGGGCTTTTGGCCCCAAAAGCCAAAAGCCCAACCAAAGGGACTGTTTTTGGAGGCTGTTTTTCCAGAAGCAGCTGCTTTTCTGTACTATATTTTTGAAAGCTGATTTGACCCTGCTTTTGGCTTTCTGCTTTTCGAAATTGGTGGAATAAAAAGCTCTTCCTTAGTTGTTTTAAGAGAGATAAAGATAGAAGGTATATTTTATACTTGTTTAACCAAGCAGCTTTCAGCTTTTCTACAGCTCATAGCCCAAAGCATCTTTTCCACAGCTCACAGCCCACAACAGCTTTTTTCCACAGCCATAGCTCAACCAAACACACCCTGAAGATGAGCTACTTTCAAATAACCTGGCGGGTACTTCTCTACAATCTCTTCAAGTAAATCCTTATAGTTTGTCAAATCTGAATCAATAGTCATATCAAAACAGAAACACCTAAAATCCTTTCTAACTCTCTTTTTGTTGCCAAACTGTCTAATTTCTAGCAAATATGTTGAATTTAGATCCATCCTGCAAATGAAAAGAACAATCTAAGGAATCAACACTGCTACTTGCACATCACTTTTGCACTGCTTAGATGAATCAAAGGCTAGCACTCACCCTTCAAGGAGCCAGTCTGGCTTTGTGCCAGCATTATCAGACCCTCCATGGCCCCCTGAATCCCTTTAGAGCATGCTGATTACAGCACAAATACATAGAATATGAATGCCTAATCATGTGTTGCATCCCAGAAACAAAATGCAAAGCTTCTAAACATGTATAAAATGCAAAAGACAGTACCACCAGGGGGGCTAGCACTCACCCTTCAAGGAGCGATCGGCTTTGTGCGGCGATATGAGACCCTCCATGGCCCCACGAATCCGCCTGAAGGCGTCTTTGCTTGGATTTTGAATACAAGTCAATGAAGCTTCAAGTTCATTTTGCTTTGTGCTCAGCACAACACAAATACGTAGAATATGAATGCCTAATCATGTGTTGCATCCCAGAAACAAAATGCAAAGCTTCTAAACATGTCTTGTTGCAAAATATGCATTTTCTTGAGATGATCTGCTTGCGGGAGGCTCGACCCGGGCTGTACGCATCACTGCGCAACCCGCCCGAGGGGCTCGCCGCCGCCAAGAGGGAGAGCCTTGAATCCACATCCTCCCCGTCGGATCTTTCGGTGCTAGCTACCGCCAGGGAATGTGATCCGTTGTAATTTTAGAGATGAGATTTGACCCCAATCAAAATGTGGTGTCATAGACAATTTCAATGATGAAAATTGAATATGTCAAATAATGAAGAAAATTATG